AATGATGTCCCTGGCAGCGTTTTGCGACCATGAGGCTCTCAAGAGAGACATGTTGGGGAGGCCAAACGGCAATTCTAGCTGAGGCGTCCCACCAAAATCGGCGCGAACGGGCTCGTGAGATCAGCCAGGGTGGCTCCCCCTTGGGGCTCCCAAATGATGCCCCTGGCAGCGTTTTGTGCCCATGAGGCTCTCAAGAGAGACATGTTGGGGAGGCCAAACGGCAATTTTAGCTGAGACGTCCCACCAAAATCGGCGCGAACGGGCTCGTGAGATCAGCCAGGGTGGCTCCCCCTTTGGGCTCCCAAGTGATGCCCCTGGCAGCGTTTTGCGACCATGAGGCTCTCAAGAGAGACATGTTGGGGAGGCCAAACGGCAATTTTAGCTGAGACGTCCCACCAAAATCTGCGCGAACGGGCTCGTGAGATCAGCCAGGGTGGCTCCCCCTTGGGGCTCCCAAATGATGCCCCTGGCAGCGTTTTGTGACCATGAGCCACTCAAGAGATACATGTTCGGGGAGCCAAACGGCAATTCTAGCTGAGACGTCCCACCAAAATCGGCGCGAACGGGCTCGTGAGAACAGCCAGGGTGGCTCCCCCTTGGGGCTCCCAAATGATGCCCCCGGCAGCGTTTTGTGACCATGAGGCTCTCAAGAGATACATGTTGGGGGCGCCAAACGGCAATTCTAGCTGAGACGTCCCACCAAAATCGGCGCGAACGGGCTCGTGAGATCAGCCAGGGTGGCTCCCCCTTGGGGCTCCCAAATGATGCCCCTGGCAGCGTTTTGTGATCATGAGGCTCTCAAGAGATACATGTTGGGGGCGCCAAACGGCAATTCTAGCTGAGACGTCCCACCAAATCGGCGCGAACGGGCTCGTGAGATCAGCCAGGGTGGCTCCCCCTTGGGGCTCCCAAATGATGCCCCTGGCAGCGTTTTGTGATCATGAGAGAGTGTGAGTGTGAGTGATTGTGACTGTGAGTGAGTCTGAGTGAGAGTGAGTCTCATCTTCTCTTATCGAGTCCTATCTTATCGAGTCCTTGTCATATATCTTATCTTACCTTATCATATATTGTGCTATCTTATCTTATCTTGTAGTATATTATCTTGTCTTGTCTTATCTGGTGGTTATCATTGGGAGGAGGGAGGCGCGAGCGGGAGGAAGGAGGAGCAGTGGGAGGCGTCAGAGTAATAACAAGAAACCCAATCCTTAGGATATGGGGAAAAACAGCACCATCACTATCGCCATCATCATCGTCACCATCCCTCCTCACTCCTCCTCCCCCTCCTTCCTCTTCTGCCTCTGCCGTCAGCATGTCAACCATTACGCCGCACCCCCTTACACGCTTCGCGGCTCCGTATCCTCATGAAGCCATTGAACACCACCTGTGTTACCGTGAGTACCGAAACGAAAATAAACAATTCGCGGGGGCTGATTCAGCGGAACGATATGTTCATCACCGCACCAAAACCGACAAATGAATAATGATTGCCCCCCTTCGACCGGAAAAACTCCTCCTTTTCCCCCCTCCGACCGTAACTACGTACCTATTGCTTCCTCACCGCACCTCTTTTCAACTCCTTTTCTCTTTCCCCTCGCCGCCCCTGTCCTACGAGATGCCTGTTGCAATCTCCTGAATAGAGAAAATGACTTTCGTCGGCCGCCCCATGGGGTGGTCCAGCCCACGGCAACGCGCCCGCCCTGCACGGAGCGTTATATTAGCACCGGCGAACGCCCACAATTAATAATTGCCCAGATGCGGCTTAGCGGTGAAAGCACTCACTGGTAGTAGTAGTAGTAGTAGTAGTAGTAGTAGTAGTAGTAGTAGTAGTAGTAGTAGTAGTAGTAGTAGTAGTAGTAATAGTAGTAATAGTAGTAGTAGTAGTCGTAAGTAGTAGTATTAGTACGATTAGTAGTAGTACAGAGTAGTAGAAGTAGTAGAATAGTCAGTAGAAAGTAAAGAAGAAGTATAGTAGTAGTAGTATTAAAGTAGTGGTACTAGTAGTAAACTAGTAGTAAGTTAGTATGTAGTAGTAGTAGTAGTAGTAGTAGTAGTAGTAGTAGAAGTAGTAGTAGTATTGTAGTAGTAGTATTAGTATTAATAGGAAGAGCGTGATTCCACAGCCGCTTTACTGCTGAAAATTGCCGCCCCCTTCTCCTCGGGGAAACCCCGGGGTCCTTCCCCCCCCCTCCGAAAATCCAGTCCCCCCCTGGGCTGAACCCCGCCCACCCCCCCACCCCCCTTCCCCCGGCAACAACCCCCCTCCACTTCCCCTACCCCCTTCCCCCCCCTCCCCCTCGAACTCGAAAACCGGGAGGGGTCACTACCGGTTCGAACCCCCCCCCCCTCGAAAACCGGAGGGGGGGGTCACTACCGGTTCGAACCACTGAGCTGTCCCACTGTTCCCACCACTGTCCCCACTGTCCCCACCACTGTCCCCACTGTACCTCTGTCCCATTGTCCCACCGCCGTCCTCGCCACCGCCTTCACCACTGTCCCCACC